ATCTGTGCTACTGGAATTATGTTCAGGACGCGGTCTCCTGTACCAATTTGTTCAAGGGTACCTTCTACTTTCTCTTCTAAGAGATTCAGTGTGGCTGAATTTATGTTGAGGTCTTTGATCCATTTGAACTTAAATTTTGTGAATAGGGATAGATATGAAACTATCTGTAATCTTTTGATTTTTTTTTAAATGGAGATTCAAATAATCTAAAACTTTATTGAATTAAGCGCAATTTAAAGACATTTTGTTCCTGAAGTGACTGTTGTTCTTGTGTCAAGATCAAATACTAAATATGAATTTAAATGACTAGACAAAGCATCTGCTAAGACAGGACAGGGCCAAGCATCTTATTTAGGTTTGTGTGGAGCTTTCCCATTCTTCATTCAGAGGCTGTGATGGTAAAACTTCTCCCCAGGAATAGTTTCTGTGGTTGTTTGGCAGTGCAGTTTTTTATATCAGTAGAGAGGTGAAACTGTCTGATTGTGTATTCAATTGTGTGTGCTACGTCTAATAAGTGTCAGGTTGATGAGAGGAAAATAAATTTTTCTTGAGATCAACATGTTTTGGATTGGCCATTAGGTTAGATTAAATGGAACCTGCCATTTGTGACACTCTCTTATCATAAAATTTCAACTGTGTTCACTAGCTTCTTAATCAGTTTGTGACTTTATACTAAGTGAAAGAATTACCAAGAAATCTGTGGTGGAATTCACTACCCTGAGTTCACATTGTCTTATTCTATTTTTATGGCTACTCCCATACCCCCATAATCCCTAACTGCTGCTGATGTCAAAATACCTTACAATAGCAGCTAAGAAGGAAGAGTTGGTTTCACCTTCCACCTTAAGAAGGGATACAGTTGATTTTGCTGAAGTTATGGTGGTAGAAGCATGAGAAGTTGATCACACTGTATCCACAGTCCAAAGGAGAAAGGTAAATACTGATGCTCAACTCACATTCTCCTTTCTGTGCAATCCTGGATCCCAGCCTATGGAAAAGTGACGTCTATATTAGAGATAAGTTTTTACTTCATAGTTTGTCCTCTCAGGGAACACCTTCACAGACACAACCAGACATGTTTTTCTATGGTAATTCTAAATCCAATAAAACTGACATTGAGAGGTGGTAAAACACCATGGAGTCTATGCTTTGATGACATCTGGTGCTTTGCTGAAAAACTGGTAAACAAAAGGGAAAATGGATGGACATCAGTGCTCTTTGCTGGAATATTAATAAATTGACTGGTAGCAGCAAAATGAAAGTTCACATGGTTAGATCAGTAAGAGCACATGGCCTTGGGTTATTATCACTCCTCTTAAAATCTGTTGGAATGTCTTCAGTGAACATGGAATACACTGGAGACAACATAACAGGCACATATCCAAAAGGGTAATTTATAAGTTTGTTTACTGTCTCCTCATAGACTGTAGCAGGAGGTACAAATGCATAGCAATGATCCTAACCATACCCCATTGTTCAGTTTCATCTCTTTCCAACTTCATATCTACCTTCAACACTATGCTGCCATAAGTCTTAAGCAAAGCAATTCTGCCTCCTTCTCCGTGTGTGTGTGTGTGTGTGTGTGTGTGTGTGTGTGTGTGTGTGTGAGAGAGAGAGAGAGAGAGAGAGAGAGAGAGAGAGAGAGAGAGAGAGAGAGAGAAAGGGAAGGAGGGAAGGAGGGAGGGAGAACATAGTACCCATCCTTTATTCCTCATACTCATGCTATCTTTTACCTCAAGTATCTTCCCCATACTTGACTCCAACCCCGGTTATGTTGGGGACCTTTCTGTGATGAGATTCTGTAAGCTTGGTGCCACACTTCCTTTTGTGTATCATTGTTTGTTTTTTTTAATAATTTTTATTCATCATTTTTATTTTATTTTATTTTACTTGCTAACCACAGTTTCCCCTCCCATCCTCTCCTCTGACTCCATTCAGATGGGGTATGGTCTCCCATGGGAATCAACAAAGCATGGCACATCAAGTCAAGGCAGGATCAAGCTCCTCCACCTCCCAACCCCCACCCCTCACCTCAAGGCTGAGCAGGGCATCCTACCTGTTGTCTTTGCTAGGCTCTGTCCTCAATGCTGGACACACAGGGGGTGACCAATGTGAAACTTCTGGAGGAATACATGGAAGTCTGATGAAAACTAGAGATTAGAAAATAGTTTAACTACAAAATTATAAGATATGGTCTGTAGGAAAGTAGAACAATTTTACAAATAAGAAAATGGTTTTGCATTCATGTAAACTGATTTTCTCAGTTCTGCTATTAATTGTAATTAGTGGTTGGGGTGGTTGGTTCTTTTAGTAAACTTTCTGAGTGATATGCCACATGGTGCTGTTTGGTAATTGACATTTTTCCCCCTTTCATCTAATGTCAGGAGAGTGAGAGAAGCATTGTGCACTTGCTCTGGTAAAGCAACCATCGTCTTCTTCATACAACCTCACTTGATTGATGGCTATGGTAGTGCTTGGTAACAATGCTGTCATTTTTTGTTTTGTTTCTTATGATTTTGGTTTTTTGAGACAGGTTTTCCCTGTGTAACTGCCTTGGCTGTCCCAGAACTCACTTTGTTGACCAGAATGGCCTCGAACTCATAAAAATCCATCAGCTGAGTGCTGAGATTAAAGACATGTGTAGTGAAATATCCACCCCACCCACACCTGTTGCACTGACTATGCCCACTGGGGAGGCTGGGTCTGGGGTCCTGGACCCCTGCTTGCTCTCTTGGTTCTGGCTGGGTCACGGAGAGCAGCCTCCTTGGAGGAGGGACTTGAGGGTCATTGGTTTCTCATGTAAGTGGCTTCTCCCAGAATAAAATATATAACCCATATTTTATCCTCATCCTTTGTATCTTAACCTGTGCACCACCACTGCCCGGCTAACAATGCTGTCTTAAAGGCTGAGTTCCCAGGGTCAATTTTGTTTATTGTATTATGGCTTTATCCTAATTAACAAACCTTAAATTTGAACGATACATTATATGGGTGTATATATACATGTGTGGGTTGAATTCAAGAACAAGAGAACCCAGACTTTTAGACCTTCAATTTATTCCAGACCATTTAGCCCTTCCATTTATGGATAGGAAATGAATAATCCCATGGATAAATGACTTGCTTAGAGGAACCAGGGAAAGAATTCTGGTTATCTTACTTTTCCAGATGGACATGATTTTCAAGCAAAAAAATAGTTGTATGGGAACATTACAAGATCTATCATGACTGTCCTGATTAATTCACCTTTATTAATAAAGATAAAGGCTTGCCCCAGAGGTCCTGCCGCTGTGCCTTGCAACCCTGCTGCCCTGGTTCTTGCTCTTCTTTGGAAAACCATAATTGTTAAAAGCGTATGATCATAACCTTATCCACTAGGAGAAAAGAGAGCTCCTTACAGATGAAACGGCAGGAAAAAAAAAGCTTTCTCACGCAAGAAGCTACTAGATTATAAATTACCAGCGTGTAGCATAGTAGTAGTGTAAGTAGCTTTACAGTTTAGCAATTATAAAAAACAACCGTGGTAACTGTAAGAGTTACAGTAACAGTGATCATAGCAGTTGCTTTACCTGGAACCCCTACAGAGATGGTTATCAGCATGTGTTATCACAGACATGTATTCATGGGCAAGTGTCTGTATACTCATTGCATAAGTGAAGGTTGTAAGTACTCAGCTTGTTTCCCCAGAGACCACACAACAGTACAGTATTTGTAGGTAGTCCCTCATGGACCGTACACTTACTTCATTTGCAAACAAATTCAATTTGAGTTTGGTTGTAATCTAGCTCCCCACATTGTCCCATACATAATACATAGGAATGTGTTTGTACACATTTTACATATACATGAATGCAAAGATTTCTCTTTATTAATAAAGATGGATTGCTCAATACAGTATTGGTGCACCAGCTAAACTTGTAAGGTCCCAACACACTTCTCCTTACTTCAAAATTCACATTCATTTGGAAATAACAATTAAGCACATTTCCTTACCTCTAGGGAAGAGTCATTTACTAATAGAGGCATTAGCATCTTATCAGAAACTGAGCCACAAGGCAGGACTGAGTGTGAGGGTTCTTGGCACCAAAGCCTGAAGAACTGGGTTAGATTCCAATCCACATATGCTCAATGGCATTTGTACATTCAGGTGTGTTGACAGAATTCAGAATTTCTTTTCTGTCCGGTCCCGCTACCCTTAATATCTGACTCCGGGTTTTTATTACTTAGACCAATTAAGAACCCCATTTACACAGGTGTATACACACACACACACACACACACACACACACACACACACGTGTGCACACATGCAGGCACACCAAATGAAAAGAAAATGTTTTCCTATTTATGGTATTATAAGAAAGTTATTTAACCTTGAATACTTCAGCTTCAGTTACCTTATTTATAAAATTGTGACACACAATGTAAATTTGATATATGTCCTCTATTGAGTTAATGATATGTAGGATTCTCAGGAGTCATAGTCATCTTTGTTTTGTGGATGTGAGAACCAAGCTTTGCATTTTTGCCATGTCAGTGGGACTCAAACTTCTCCCTTTTCTCTCTTCTACTTTTATACTTATCTGCAGCTGGGTTGGGACACAGAACTTCTGTTTAATTGGTTTAATTGGTTGTAATTTAATCTGATTGTAGTGTTTTTTCTTTTCTTTCCTCATAGTACCAGCTCTCTGCCAGAGTTCTAAGAAAATAATTGGTCACCTCTTTTTCTTATTTGAATAAAATTATTCAGTAGCTAGCTACTTCTACTAGCTGTTCTGTTTAAAGTACTAAATTCTCTTTTTATTATTATTTGTTGAAAAATAGATTCTTGTCCCATACAATTCATCCCAAGCACAGCGTCCCCTCCCCCACTGCTCTCAGCTCCTTGCTGCCTCCCCTCCCCCCTAAATCCATTCCCTGGCCATCTAAATTCTTTATTTTAATCTTGGAATCAATGGGGATTCAGTGGATTTATTGGCACCTTCTTTATCATCTTTCAGGTCTTATAGAAATTTGCCTGATGCACCCTCTCGACGTGGTGAAAACCAGGTAAGGTTCTGCATGAACAAGTTTTATTGACCTTGGCTGATATCCAAGTTAAGATCTGTCAGAATACTAAATGCTAGAACTTGTCCCAGGCCGGTAGCTTCTCCCTGTAATGGCATTTAAATTTGCTTTTCAAAGAAAGTACCATCTGACATATAAAATATGAACAGTGAGAACCATCTTTGGAGAAAGGTCATCTGGAGGTATGCCGTGTTTACTGCTGTCGCATGGCAAGTTGAGGGTATGATTTGTGGTGTTCTTGTACATGAGGTCAATTTATAAAATCGGTGTAAAAACCAAACATTATCTGGTGAATTATGACAGCAGCTTTTCATTTGGCATGGCACATAACAGATTGCTGTCTAATAGTTAGAATTTTTTTTATTTCAGGTGAGCTTTTAAAATGACAGCTAAAGAATTTATTCCCATCACTCTTTGTCAGTGCAAATGCTGTATTTCCATGAAAGTGCTTCTGTTTATAAGGAAAGATTTCTCTTTCCATCATTTCTATATCCATCAAGAATGAAAACAATAAAAAAGCAAAACCAAAAACAAGAAGGCTGTGAGGTTTAATATGATCACTGTAAAGCATTTTGGGGAGGTGGGTCTTTTTTAAAAATGTTTTCTTTTTAATTTTTGAGCTTATAATATAAATTTCCCCTCTCAAAACTCCTACATGCATTCCTCCATTATGGTAACTTTCAGGTTCATGAACTCTTTTTTTTTTTAATTTGTGTGTGTGTGTGTTTTAATAAATGCATAAATATGACCTTCTTGAACTGCATGTTACTTGAGTGCATGTTTTCAGATATGACCCCTTTTATTAAACATTCAACTGATAAGCTCTTCCCTGGGGAAAATAAGAGCACATATTCGAAAGTTTAAATTATGGCTAAATTATTGAACTTTAATTTTTGAAATTTGAAGCTTTTAGTGAATAGTGAATGTTTGCATATATTTGCATTACATAAAACCCAAGTACACCAGTTAGAAAATGTTGGGACACTAATTTTTTAGTTGAATAAATCATTGCTTCCTCTGTCAGAAACTACTTCATGAGTTGGGTCATTTGATGGACATTTTATTTCATTTACCTAAAGGGGCCTCTGAATTCAAATTTTCTCAACATTTAATGTGTGTGTGTGTGTGTGTGTGTGTGTGTGTGTGTGTGTGTGTGTGTAATGAATCTTCCAGTCTGAGGCCCTGTGGAGAAACTCATCAACGCCAACTTCAAAAGCAATCTTGTATGCGTGGGTTGGATTTGAATTGTACATTGCTTGAAATGCATTTACCAAGTAGCTGTAACCTTATATATTTTTTGCTAAATATCAACACTTCCATGAAAATAACATTCATTAACATTCATTAACTGGGATTGGTCATGTGCCTGTTGTGGACTATTACTTTAACTATGTGAAGGTGTGTTACATTTGTTTGTGCTGTTTGTTTAATTATGTAAAGGTGTGTTGCTTTTGTTTATGTTGCATTTGCTTGATTATGTAAAGATGTGTTGCTGTTTGACCTTGCCTGCCTGAGGTATTTGGTTGGTCTAATAAAAAGCTGGACAGCCAATAACTAAGTAGTTGACGGATAGGCAGACTGGTGGGTAGAGAGAATAGGAAAGAGGAGCAATCTAGGCACAAGGAAGAGAAGAAATAGTGAGGGAAGAAGAGATGGAGATGCCAGCGGCCAGCCAGGCAGCTGCCAGACAGACAGACAAGGAAGAAGAAGGAAAAGTAGAACGAAGAATGAAAGGTAAAAAGCCCTGAGGCAAAATGTAGACTAAGTGAAACAGGTTAAATTAAGTTATAAGAGCTAGTGTGACAAGCATAAGATAAGACCAGCACTCATTGTTAATAATAAGTCTCATGTTATGATTTGGGAGCTGGTTTGTGGCACACAAGAAAGCCTGCTACATGTGCCCCTGCCTACCTTGAAAAGAGAGGGATAATACCACCCTTGCAGGTGTCCTGAAAGAGAGAATTGGATGGTAGAGGGCAGCTGATCTGCACAACAATAGAAAATGTAGTGACTAAAACCCTATTCACAGTCAAAGATGTATATATGCAGAAGTCATTTTGCAAGAGAAGTGGACTATGTGTGATTTGTAGGACTTAACACTAAGCCACTAACAAGATAGCCAGTGGAGAGGAACAGATGAGAATGCTGGGCTCTTCACTGTTATAGTCTGGTGGAAATGAATTCCTGTCTTAAAGTTTAAGAAGCAACTTTGTTTTTCAATGGAAGTGTTACAAGTTAGAATTACAAGTTAGAAAGGAAAATTGGAGCTACATAGAAGCCTAGTGAATGCATGTCACCTGAGCATGAAGACTCTCAAAGCTATTTTTTGGAAACATGCACTGACATTTTCAGTTAGAATGCTATCTTAAGATTACTGTATTTTTCTTTCTGATAGAAGCACTGCGATCCACCTATAAGGTTTTATGTTTGCTTGTTTTTCTGAGACAGGGTTTCTCTGTATTGTTTTGGAGCCTGTCCAGGAACTAGCTCTGTAGACCAGGCTGGCCTCAAACTCACAGAGATCTTGCTGCCTCTGGACTAAAGGCATGCGCCACCAACACCCAGCTTGAGGTTTCCTTGCTACAACATCAGTGACTTAACAAGCAAACTTCTGCTTTCATTATCACCTATAAGTTTATAGGAAATAAATGATCCAGGGGATTACATTAGATCCTTGTTTTGAATTATATGTTATTCCCTCAGGATAAACTTAAATATACCAAGTTCTTGGATAATAAGAATGGCACTTTCCAAATGTGTAATTTCCATTCGGTGTGATGGCATTCATTGGCATCTTCCACCAATTTAAAAACTTTCAAAATATTTATTTTAACTTGATTTTCAACTTATAATATGGCTGTATTTCCCTTTAATTATTATATACAAATATTGATGCCAATAAAAGAAGAAAGATAGAAATAAGAATCCAGCTATTAGAATGAATGAGTTACTCATATATAGACTATTTGTATTAGGAATTAAAAACCAGCAGCTAGGATACATTCATAACCAGATGTGCAAGGCATTCTGAATGTACCAACAGGAAGAAGTCAATCTACTAGAACCAAATGGGACAATATAATGATTATGCTTCTTCCTATATAACAAATACTCCAAGGTAATGTGAAATACAGCATGGAACATTTTTAAATAGGAATGAAAGCATACCAAGTAACACAATTGATCATTTACAGAGAGGAAAAAATATTTTTGACAAAAGAACTGTAAAATGAGTTTTTTATAATCCTTTGTTCATCACTCAGCAGAGTAAAGGGTTAGACACAAATAAAGGTCAGAAAGAAAAGACAGGACTTCATGGAGCCAACCTTTTTAGTTTACCTTTATCCAGCACACAAGATGCTGTGGGAAGCAAGCTATATCCACAATTCAAGATTAATTCAGTGTATCACTCTTCAAGCCATGATACCAAAGGAAAGCATAGAAAGGCCTGAAAACAACAGTGTAGACATGTGCACTTATGTCCAATGCCTGTAACAACTTAGAGTTCACTGCCCAAGGACACACCATTACCAAGCACCCTGCTAAAATAATCAGTGCTTGGTAGCTTTATGTCTTATTTCTTAAGTTAGCCTTGTTCACTTTTTGATTAATCAAAACAGTAAGTGTACATTGTATAAAATTCAAATAACACTCTAAGACTTATGTCAGTCAAGATAGGTTAGGTTGTAACAAGCCCAGATCTCAGGAGATTACACTTTCTCATTCCTACCTCATGTCCAATATGAGTAGATACCATAACCTGTTTATGCTGCTTTAACTAAATACCATAAACTGGGTCCTTGTAATCAAAAGAAATCTTTCAGTTATGGGCGCTGGCATCTACAGTTCTTTTCCCCACAGGTTCCGTATCTAGTATCTAGTGAAAGCCTGCTTCCTCATTCACAGACAGCACCTTCTCATTGGGTGCCCCATGTGGCAGAAGAAGCAAGATACCACCCTGGAGTCATTGTTACAGGGGCATTAACCTTATGCATGAAGGACACACTAATGGGACACTGTGCTCACTGCAGTCATCCTGGGCGTCAAAAGTTGTTTTCCCCTCCATGTGACAGAAAGTGTAGAGCTCAATAGTCTCATGTTGTTTCTGCTGAGACTTATGGTTCAGAGATACTCATTTGATCATACCTAGCCAACCATAGTGGAAGTGTGGTCCTCCCCTTTGACAGGGAGGACATGGAGGTCAATATGCTACAGGCATTCATGCCCATTCCCAGCCTTATATTAAGAAACATTATCCACGTACACATACCAGTTCCCTTTCCAGATGCAAAAACACCTTTGGCTTTTAGCTGCTTCTTTGAAAACCCACTCTCACATTTCTAAATATCATGCTTATCATGATTGCATTGGCTTCAACAGTGCTTCCATCTGTGCCAGTCATGGAATCTCAAAAGGTGACCTTTGGAAATAAGGTCTCTGCAGATATAATTAGCCATAGTGCAGTTATACTGAACTAGGGGAGACTCCAAATTCCCTATAGTTTTCATCCTTACAAGAAGAGGAAACTCAGTAGACAGATAGTCAGATGGGGTGTAGGAGGCAGTCACTTCCAAGAAAAGTGGTGATTGGAATTATGCACATCACGGTTTGCTAGAAACTTCCAGAGACTGGGAGAGAGGAATAGAAGAGACCTGGGAAAAAATTCAGCATGCTGTCTTAATTTATGTATTTTAAATATTGTTCATGATACTTATACCCTTCACCCTCTTTGATAAAATTCTATCCTATTAATGTCACTGATAATCTGTGTCATTGTTTGACAATGCAGTTACTGCTTACTGCTGAACTGAGAAATACTTGATGACTTGTTTTCCTGCAGTTAATTGCCTTCTCTTTTCATTCTTCAGTACTCTGTGTGTTGTTGCTAATTATCATGTCTTCCAAGATGCTTCTGTAAGCTTCTTGATTGTTTTCTACAAATGTCATGGTTATGTTTGTTTAAAGTGGATTTATTTATAATC